TCAATTTGTCGAATCCTTCGCCAGGAAAGGCTTAGCTGGAAAGCACTCGAGGGACGAGCTATTCAAATACGTAGCGAAGACGTTGTCCAGTTTGCCTCAGAAATGAGTGAAATCAAATGGGCTTTTCAAAATTAAATCTTCCTGGATGAAGTTAGTTTTGATAAAAGGTCAATGCTTAGATCTAGAGACTACGGAGTAAGGGGTGAACGATTGATTTGTAGGGGTGAGTTTGTCAGAATACCCAGAATGTCGCTGTTATGCTTCATTGGACAAGAAGGGTTAACTGAAGCATTCTCGACAGAAGGCACTTTTAACAGAGCAAAATTTTTCGAATGCTGTAGAAAATTTGCTTTGGAATCTGGAACGGTTCAGTGCTACCCTGGGTTCCATTCTGTTTGGATGGTGGTGCTAGAATTCATTGCGACGTTGCGATAATTACCTATCTCCGGTCATTGGACATTTATGCCATATTCCTGCCTTCGAAAACTGAAGAGGACGCATCAAGAGAACCACAATAAAAACATTGATCTAGCAGTGACGGAAGTATTAATAGACTTCTCGAAGTATTAACTGTGAATAATTTATTCAAAAAGTGTTGATATATCAGAGGAAGAAGGTTTGACCCAACTGTTGGGTTGGAATGTGATCTGATTTATCTTGGTTTTGAAGACAATAGGTTTAGAAATAATTAATAAATTATATGAAATGCGATTCGGATTCAATTCGTTTTATTCTGACATTTCCAGCCAGAGAACTTCTCTGAGAGAAGCTTCAAAATCCAACTCGTTGAATGTGACTGCTTCTTCCTCTGCTGAGAGAAATGATTTGCCAAAGCGGTGTCGCGCTGCCTCAATGTTTTTTTTTTTTTTTCAAGAGCCGCATTTGAGAAGTTAAGCATTCAACGGTTTTTTTTCAAGACTGTAGAATGTTTCTCTTATGAAGATGATTTCAGCGTGGTACCCTGCATTGATGTTGTGAGCCACGGTAAAGTTTTGACGAATTTGCCTCAATCGCGGCAGCTCTTTGGCTGTGAAAAGCTTCACCAAGCGCGCTGGAGGTCCTTCGTTCACCAGGCTTTCGTGGAGACAAAGGTCTGAAGCAAAAATGGCATTAGGCCACATCATCCATGCAACATCCACTGCTTGTAAATGATCCCCGTGCGTTTGACGTATCTTTTCAGCTAAAAGTCCAACAGAACTGTTGGACGCAGCATCAGCTCTATCCCGTTCCTCGGCTTCTAAAAGAGTGTCCTTCACCACCTTATGGACTGCCTTGTTATTTACGGAAAGAGAGTACACGTGCAAGAGAAGATGAATCTCTTTGTTCTTCCAGTTTTGCAAAATTGTAGCTATGATTTTGTCAACGGTATGTGACCTGTGACAAGATTTGTCGTTAAATGAGCGAAACGACTGAAATCTTATTCATCCGGTTGCATTTTTGTGCACCATGACGGCTGGGCAATACCATTTCCATCGCAGACTAAGACGATCTCACGTTTGAGAAACTGTTGGGACAACAACCAACAGTTTTTCACAAACTCCACGGGGGAGTCTCCTGAAACTCCTCATATACCTGCATCTAGGCAGCATAGATTGAGCGTAGCCACGATTTTCACCGGTTAAATTCAACTCATAATCTACAATAACGGCCGGGTCATCATCACAATCAGAGATCAAGCGTTCTTCTCCTCCTTGGCCATCTTCGGGATATTCCATCTCGTCATCGAGGTTGGAAAGACACGACAGATTTTCTGTTTCCGGATTTTCAGAAGCTTTCAAGCGACGCCATTTTTGGTTTTTCTCCATACTCTTGCAATCTGTGCAATTTGAGGAAATCGTTAGAATAATTATTCCACAACTGATATTTGAAAATACCCACCTATCGATGAATGTATACTGGTACGATAAACTTTTCCCCAGACTATTTATTCCGGAATGAAGCCGGTAGGAAAACTGCCAATGCAATCTGACAAGCGCGTAAGTGGAAAATAATCAAAACAAATCAGGAAAAACGATCAAAGCATGCACGCCTGTGGGTCATGTGAGGGATCGTGACTGAGAAAATAATTTCAGCTCAGGAGTCTACTAAGGTGCAAAATGCGCAATATAAAAATATTACAAAAATGGGATTTTGTATTGAACAACATTGATTGTTATTGTATGTTATTGCGTAATATGATTTCATATTTTTCCTTGAAAATTTAGGCTTTTTTACAAAACATTAGTATTAGCATCAGCATTAGCATCGAACCAGTTGCACAAATATCGTAGGCGGTACGAGTTCATAACTATTAATAGCAAGACGAATATCTATTACTGTACAGATAGTAAGTAGGAAATAGGCAATAATTACTATCTCCTAAAGACATATCTCTCTCCAAAAGTTAAGGATTGTCCTTTCCACGCCCTTGCAACTGGTAGGGATAGGAAAGGTATGTTAGTCCAACATTTACTTAAGAGAGATGCAGAGAACTCTACGACCCCTCATAAATGTCTCGGGAATTTAGGAATTATTTTAGTAGGGAAGGTAAGCTATAGGATACACCCAGTCAATGTTGGTCATAACATATCAAAAAATCAGATAGAGGAAATGGCTCTTATGTTGGCCTATGGATCTAAGATTGGGCCAATCGCTTAAAATCTGAAATAAAAAGCTAAAAATTTACTCTAGAGTTTTCAAAACTTTCAGTTTGTCTTCACATATTTTCAGAGCTTGCCTTCGGATGATTCTAGAATGGATATAATTCTGAATATACTTTATGGGGTGGCTTTCTCAGTATTTTAGTAGAAACGATTTGATTTTTACAGGAACGACTGAGAAAGCAACCCCATAAAGTAATTCCAATCAACCAGTCGAAACCACCATTAGCATTTTGAATATACTTTGATAAGTTCAAAGATTCTGTTTTGAGATCCCAAAGAAGCCTGTTTTTAAACGGTCTGCAAAATTTCATCGAATTCACAACGTTTGGAAGATTTTAGAATTAGCATCGTTTATTTCAAACTTATGAATAGTTATTCACATTCCGAAATGATAATCTTTTGAATCAGAGTTGGTTGGAAATGCTAACATGAAGCTTTAGTGTGATGATTTATTAGCTAGAGAATGATCTTTAGAAGAATGTAGGTGGATAGTTCCGTTAGAGTACGGCAGTATGAAAATTGAATAGAAGTTGAAAATGAGCGAAGGGCCATTAAAGCGACAGTTTTCAAGATGACGCACATTTTTGCCTAGCCCGTACGATGTACGCGGGGACTTGAAGTATGTCTCCAAGTCCACAGGCAAAAATGTGCGTCCCTCTTGTTGCTCATAAACTGACTGCGGCTGTGGAATAGTTCTAGCGACGTTTTCATCACTACGTTTTGAATCAGTTAAATCTTATTTACCAGCCTCTGTTACCTCCAATCCAAATCACCATTCATAGCATAATTCCTCGTACACAAATCAACTTCAGCGCACCAGCCCCAGCAGCAACCGGATTGTAAATCCACCGTTTCGACACTGACAAATGACTGTCCTCAGGCCATTTCCGATATTATCAATTTGCGCTCACAATCCACTTACCGAGATCGATCTACCGGTTACGTTACAAATCGGAATCTCAAACATTCCCGCGCACCCGCATTCGACATCACAGTGAGATAAAATACAAAGTCCTGCTCCATTGGGGCAAGCCCTCGTTGATGTCGTCGTATGCTAATCTGCCTCTGAACTCTATTGAACATGCTAAAATATGAGTAATCGTAAATCACTAGACGGGTTGCAGCCTGCGTCTGTTGAACAATCTGATAATTGTTTGAAAATTACCTATTGCTTCGCATTAAAATCAGTCAGCAACTTCGCGGTCGGATTTGTGTCAACCGCCACACACACACACACATACGAGATCTCAACTGAATCCTAATGTGTAAACAATTTAAATTTTTTAAATTACTATCCCAAGCACCGGGTTGAAATATCGAAATCGTTCCCGCAGGCTGACAAATGCTACTTAAACAGAGAGTATAATTAAGTGCCTTTGAATTACCCATATACATATCGTGGAAATGGGTGTGCTTTACGGAGTTGTTGGCTCGATTATCGGATTAGCTGGTTGGAGTTCTCGCCGTCAAACAGCGATAACGTCACCGACAGCATCAGACATTGGCACAGATTTGCATAAATTACATACACCTAGTCCGCTGCTAGGGCTGATTATCAAACGAAACTCCTCGGAACTGGGATTATCGGCCGACACTTGCGACACATGTCTCACATTAGTTTGAATGCAACCTTTCCTCTGGACCGCGTGTCCAAGTAGGGCGTTAAACAGTAATGGACTTTGTTGATTCCGAACGCAGTGCAAGGATAATTTCCGCATGCAAAATTTCCTCGGTTGTCCTACAAGGGAAGTCGCACATGTCGGTTCTGCTCAACTGCCGATGCAATGTGGGTTCCGTTTTGTGCTGATGTCATCGAAGAAATTGAAAGCGATATCGATAACGCAACATTCTATTGAAAAGTAGGTCATCCGCACTGATGTTGGCAAGTGTCGGCCGGTCGTCTGGCTGCCAAAAATTGTCGTTGATCGAGATATTAAGACCGCCAACGATGACAATCTGATATGCGCGGGGAAATAATGATTCTTAAGTGTAGACACAATTTTGCGAATGATCGATTGGGGTGGTCGATTGGACGGGTTCAAGCAGTTGAAATTGGTGCCGAGAAAGATGGGCCAATTGAGTGAGACGGATGTTATTGGGGTCCTTGATTGATTTTGACTGCCGCTAGTTCTACTTTTCTTCGAATTTGATTAGTTGTTGTCCTAAATTTTGCGTGAAATATTGCTATTCTAAGTTGGTGACAAGCTTGGAAAACTACCGAAAACTCACTAATTTTGTTGCATTATTTCATCAAACTTTGGTACAAGGTCTATGACGTTTATTGCTGAGTTCCTAGATGTTTGTATGTGGTTAAATACCTTGGTGAAAGTTTGAAAATTCTTTTTGGACTCAGCGCACCTTCAATTTACCTGAAAAGAAAAGAAAACAAAAGAAAATAGTATGAAATGGTGAAAAATTATTCAACACCATCTTTTTACCACAAAAGCATCAATTATCTATGTAAACATATAAAGTCAATCATTTCTAATCTTCAATTTTTCTTCAGAGATTTAAAAACACTAAAATAATAACCTGATTTTGTCAGACCCTGTGCGCATCATACTTTTATCAATCAATAATTCCACCCTGTGTTGGGAAAAAAATCTATTGACGTAAATAATATGCCCCAGACCTAAAGCTGGTTCACTCTAGATAATTTAAGAAATAAATAGCGATGCAGTCTATTTTTGCTTGCAGGTGGAGTCAAGGTAACTGATAATCGCATCATTTTTCCCGAATTCACCCATCGCGTGCGAAGGTCTTTGAAGCATCGGTATCCCACAAACACTCTCGAATAAAGAGGATAAAAGCTTAAAAGTAAATCATGATGAGTGATCTGCTTGAGAGGAATATGAGTGTCGATGCAGCGCGCAAATATTCGTGCTTCTTGCTCTTCGGCACTTCCTCGTTCTTCGCAAGATGAGTACCCACTCTTCTTCGTTCTTCGCATACTTTTATCTTCATGAAGATGCAAAGTATTTGGTTCATTATTCATCGCGAAGGGGACAAAACATTCTTCTTTCTGTCCTCTGGTGAATCCCTAATATTGTCAGGGATTAACTCAACATGATTTGACCATAGAGGTAACTCTAAGAACAGAAGGTCCCGAAGAAACGAGCTCAACTTTTTGGCTCAGCTCTGGTACTATCTTTGGTCCCAAGCTAATCGATTCACCCCTCGAAACATAGGAAAATCCACGAACCCTTCATTTTATCTGTCAAACTTTCATAGCCAATCAAAACAAACATTTTGTAGTACTAGAATTTTGACTAGAATGGAGTACGTTAATCGATTTGCTTGGGACCAATAGGCTAGTTAAGTAGTGAGCCAATTTAAAATCGTTAGTTTCGTATTGATTGTTGATTTGACTGAGTCTTATTCATTCTTGAAAGTCGTGAAAGTGCCATCCCGAGTTAGGAAGGACTAAAAAGAAACATTCCAAAGTGTATGTTCGTTAGCGGTCGAATCCAACGTTGGATGCGGAATCCAATACCGAATGAAACCATTACCATTATTCAAAATCCTGTTGACGCCATGATTGCATTAATTAATGAGGAGAACGAGGATGCTTCGAAAGGTCAAGAATCGCCCACGGGATATTCGACAGCTGACGAATCCGATGTTGGATATTCACATTCTTCATTGACGAATGTGCCAATAAAAATCGAGAGCTTACAATAACGTGAAATTCCATGTGCACTGGACACAGTCACATAGAAGTCGACTGTGTCCATGCAAGTATCGAAAAGGCGAAAAAAGTAGCTGCTATTGATATAGAAACGCCTCACGATTGCGTGGAGTTTATCGCTGAAAAGTGCCGTTCAGTGTTACCGAAATGGAGCTGTCGGATTTCTTGGGGCTCAAGGAACTCGAAATGCATTACACTGAACCCGCTGTAAACAGTAACGGCGAAACATTCAAATTCAAGCAGATAATGAGCTTCCAATACCGCACATCATCACCGAGAACTGTTTTCTATAAATATGAAATAAATAAATACGTCATATTCCTCCTTCGTGATCCAATCAAAAACGGTAAGAGTACCAGCACTTCCGGGACCGATTACACTGTCTCCCTTACATTAACCACAAGCCAAACTAGAAGATCTCCACAAGCTGACACATCAGTTAGGCAGTCGACCATTTTGAGCCAGATTTGACGAAGAATAGAAGAACATAAATTGCGTGAATAATGAATCCTCTTCATTAGATCCTCTCGCATAAATTTAGTAAAGATGATTTTCATTCGATCCTTTCGCATAAATAAACGAGGTTTATTTTTCCTAATGTAAGGGAAATACAGCATTCATTTTAATTTATTCTTATGTTAAAACTCGAACGTATTCTTCATTAACTTCCTAGTGATTTTCCCGGCTGATTCAGATTTACCGTTAGCTTTTTGGTGGTATTTAGTTGAAACGGTATGCTGGAATCCCCGAATTAATACTAACTGCACTACGTCGTTCAAAGATACAAGTTGAGTCCGGAGTGTGATTGGTTCACTGTATTTGACTAACTCCTTTCTCTAACTCTTTGAAACTATAAGTACTTTGCCTTTGTTTCAGATCATGCTTTAGCAGTCTTCTTCATCAGTGGAAGCTTAAGGGGATGTTTATATTAGTTATGAAATAACTAATTTTACACGTGACGGAATTCGTCTTTGACATAAAAGATGAGACGTAAACAAACATGTCATGTAAAATTAAGTGCTCCGAGACTGAAAAGTTCGTTGCTCGACGAAAAGTACGTTTGATTGGACTATATTTCGCGTCTGTTATGACTCAAATTAATGTCAACATTGACGCTCGCATATGTCACTTTCAGAGCACCTAAATTTGCATAATTTTTCCTAAGTGTGTCAGATGCATTATGTAGCAGATTAATTTAAATTCAATAGTTTGTCGCATCAATATTTCTATTGCATACCCTTTTTTTGTTACGAAATTGTTCAGCGAAACCCTATTCTGTTACTAACCAAGTTGTAGACTGCTCCGTATTGAAATCAATTTAAACTGAATATAAAAACTAAATAAAATTGGATCGAGGTAGGCCGTGCATTGAAACTGACGTGTTTTGATTTTGCTGCTGCTTTATTTTCCGAGATGTTTATTGAAAATTTAGTACAATATATCCTTTAGCTGGTGCAATTTGGACACCTGAAAACTTTTTCAATAATTTCACGTGTGTTTATTAGTGCTGTGTTTGGTTATTTAAAAAAAAAAATAGGATCCAAAAAGTTTTTAAGATTACCGCGAGTGAACAAACCGGGTTTTTTTTTCATTTTTTTTCCTTCGTCGCCGCCGTGAAACGTTGCGAAAAAGCAGATCTCCGCTGAATTTTCTAATGTACGCTGTTGAATTGTGCCAAGTTACAAGTGGTTACAAGTGCATAACGATCCGGAAGCCGGAAGTTACAAAATAAGTCCATGAGGTAACGGTGATATCCAGTGGAAGTAGAATAAAATCAAATGTGCATTTTTTTCCCTGCTGCTGCCTGCGAGCCAAAATGGGCGCGTATCTATCGGAACCACTCACAACGAAGGATTCGAGCGAGGAGGCAATTAATCATGTTTTGTTGTTTTTGACATCATCCACATCCAGAGGGCCAGTCACTTCAAATGTATATGGAAATGGTAGGAAACCATTTGGAAGTGCATGGAAATTTTCAGTTTTTATTCATTATCGTATTTATGGGCAGTTTTAAATGCACAAAAATTGCACGAGTACATTACTATGGTGATAAGGTAAACACTCGTTTATTTGTTTTCTTCTGTGAAAGCATGTTTAGGCACAAATCGTGGATTTTCTGATATTCTCCATACTGCAAAAACGATTTTCCTACCACTGATGGGGCGACATCTCTCGGATCTTCAGTATAGCTACTACTCAAATCATATAATTAATTGATTTGCTTGCTTGCGGTTCCAGCTCGATGCAAGGCTGGCGGATCAGCCAGGAGTAGTAGTTTCTAGTGAAAGAAATGATCTCCATCACATCACTAAACATAACCACGAGCAATGACGAGGAACTGCATCCCAAACCCCATGATAAACAAGGAGCGGATGCATCCAATGAAACTTTCAAACGCAAAAGAATCATTACAAACATAGGAAAAAATTCGGTAAGATCCTTCCATAGCATTATTTAAGGATTCTTCAATATTGTACAAATATTTACACATTACACACAACTACACATAGTAACTCGGACCGTTTGATACGGTACGTCCACGCATCCTTCCACCCCTGTAGATTCAAGAAATGTTCCCATTCATTTCCAAGAATCATCTTTGCGGCAAATACAACGCAGTAGGCTTGGCCGTATTGATGTTTATATCATATCTCAGATATGCTGTAAATATCAATTAGATAAGGAAAATGATTAGACCTAATCTAACCTAATCATTTTCCAGGATGCTTTCTCATACTGGCTGCGTTTGTATTAGATTAGATTAGATTAGATTAATTTTCCATATGTGAATTTGGTTTCAAACATAAAAAAAAAATCATCGTTGATTATGGCTTTGTTGTCGTTTGGAACCAGTAGGTAGGTGAGGTAGGCGACAGTCACCTAACCCCCCAGGTTTCAACCCAGTGTAGATGAATTGCGTTTGTTTCGAATATCTTCGCTGTGAAGTACGAGCGAAACGAACCAATGAGTTCATTATACATCAACCAGTACGCGTTTGTTGATATTCACCAGTGCTTGATTATCCAACCCAAAATTGTCAAAATCAGAAGCGATTTTCAAAAGCAAAATAATTAAATTCATTTTGGGCAAATGGATTATTTTGAATATTGTCAACTGCGGCGCCGGTGGTGTAGTGATAAGCGTGATAACCTCTCACTCCAGCAGGCCTGGGTTCAATCCCCGTCGGTGCCACCGGGATGTTGTGAGGCCTAACATCTCTGATCACACCTTACTTCGAAAGGGAATCCCGAGCAAAGTCCAACATCAAAATAACAGCAAATTGAAATCAAGTTTTGATATCAACATCAGGGCCCCACAAAGTCACTTTCAATCGAAAATCTTCAAGTGACGATGAAGCTCTCAAGCATCACTTTCAATTGAAAGTCATTCTGTCTTCTCTTCGAGCAGATCCCCGTCAACATCAACAGAACCACTTTCGATCGGTTTTCATGCTGTTTGTTTTGGCTTGACTCGTGTTCATTTCTTCTTTCATTGTCAAATGAACTTACTTTTGCATTGAAGCGAAGCTGTTCAATCCAAATTCGCGCAGTTTTAATGAATTTTGTTGATTGTTCACTCGGTTCATTTAAGCGCATGCGCATAGATCTGTGCACGTGGTTGTAAAATGTATCATTGTTGGGTGATTTGTTTTCCTATCAATATGGGTACTTTTTGAATCGAG